CGATATCAACAGCGTCCCCATGCCAGACCCGGTTCCACCACCCAGCGAATGACACACTTGAACCCCTAGAAACACAAACCAAAAAAATTAAACCATCAATTCCGCTGCAATCGCTTCCAGGCACATCAGATCTAGGAACTCTTAAGCAAAAATACTCCATCAAACACAAACAAAAACGAGTTTATGTATATTCGCGCACCTTGGAGGCAATCGGAGTTCTCGGCCTCCTTGCGGACGACGTCCAGGACAGAGTCGATGAGTTCAGCGCCCTCGGTGTAGTGTCCCTTAGCCCAATTGTTTCCAGCGCCGGACGACTTGCCGAACACAAAGTTGTCATGGCGGAAGGATCTGGTCGTAGGGGCTGGATCTGACAGAATCCATGGTGCCAGGCTCTAGATCCATGACGACGTCGCGGGGGACATTGAGGCGCTCAAGCTGCAGATCGTTGTAGTAGACATTGAGGGGCTCAAGCTGTAGATCGGAATCGTCCTGGTAGCGCGGCCGGTGGAGTCGAATACTTAGATTTGTGGCTTAAGTTGAATATAAATGCGTAAAGAGTACGCAGAGGCAAGTGGTGGCTTTTTTTTGCATCGGTTAATACGTAGAACCGATGCAAAAGACTCTTGTACCTTTTTTAAAATATTTGAGTTAAAGCTTTTGCATCGGTTTTTAGAAAATAACCGATGTAATTGGTTATTTGTAATAACCGATTCAAATAACAACCGGTTGGCGAAATTATTTACCATTAGAATCGGTTTTTGCGACTCCGATGCAAATGAGGCGATTTTTTTGCCCGATTTTGTACTAGTGGTGCCTCATTCAATTAAGAAACTGTACGTGTAATCCACATTGTGATTGACTGTGAGAAATAATGCAATACCATCTTCTCTATATACTGGAACAACTTGGATGACTTGCATATTATCTGGCCAAGTACCATGTACTTGAAATAATGCAAGTGTGTAACGTTTTAAATTTTTCAGAAGCATTTGGTACACTTTTTAATATTAAGAGATAAACCATACAATTTCTGAAGAGTTCGGGGGCAAACAATGCACTTTTTAAATTCAGGTGTAAATCGTGCGATTTCTAAAGAGTTCGGGGGTAAACGATGCTCTTTTCTCAAAAATATTATGTCATCTATGTTATATTGTGTGCATGATATGATGTGATGTTGCGAGTTAGTGATTTCATTTATGTGTATGGGTGAACGTTAGATATTTCTCACTCTATGTCATTGCTGAGCGTGCAGTGTGTTTGTTTTGTTACACGAAAGTAATTATGTTCAAGATGAATCTTGATCCAATCTCAAAGGACAATGAAGATGATGAGATGTGCATGAGTTTTCTTGATGATTTGGATTTCTAAATATTTTTGAATAACTTATATATTATTTTTTCGGGCTTGATTCTCGAGTTTTGTTTGAATTGGATGTATGATATAAGCTTCTGTATTTGTTTTAAATTACTCCGATGGATTTTGTTGAAAATTAAATGATTTAAATAAGGAATTTGAATTGTTTTCAAAATGTGTGTGATTGGAAGTTTGGATACCAATATGCATGGTAGCATATGCAGGTTGAGGCATTACAGTCATTGACACCATCTTATGCAAGAGTTTCATTCAAGTTTTAAAGAAGACAATTTTCTGTGGTTAATTTATATGCAATAACTATTAATAATAGTCAAGACTAATCTCTAAAACAAGTAGATTTTTTTAGAGAAACCAATATTTAGTCATGGACAAGTATATCTTGCAGTTTCCAGAGTGATAAATTGTAATGACTTAAGATTCTAGTATACAACGCACAGAATTTTCCCACAAATTGTACTAGTAATGTTGTTTATAAAAAGTTTTTCAAAATTTGTAATTAATTTGATATCCATGCTGTAAAATAATGAAAAACTTTATATTCCGATCTGATCCATTATATGGTCTATTTCTATTTTTCAATAACGATACCAATATAATTTTATAACGTAAATACGAGTCGTGCAACACATGAGTGTGATTAGACCTGGCCTGGCAAAATCGTCGGTGAGGTCGGGTTCAGGTTTGGCATTATCGGATTCGAGTTATTTCGGGTTCAGATCACTTCAGGTTTGAGTCTAAGAGTGCTTGTTCATTACCTAGAGTTATCGGGTTCGGGTTGACCTAACGAGTTAAGAGACGTATTTAAACATTAAAGTTTTTTTTGCTATTTAGAGATGAAGTGATCAACGCATTGTTCAAAACAAATAAAGAAATCATATAAGTTTACAGGTCTACTTGCAGCATACCAAAAGAAAATTGCAATATACCCAAAAAATCAGATTTTTGCAGCATACAAAATAAAAGTTACAGTAGATGAAAAAAATTGAAGAATCTTTCAAC